CTCTTTAATCACTACTATGATGCACGCCGAGAAACATGCCACCTTTCCAACTGTGAGGCAACAAGCTGTACACATTGATTGCCTTTCTGCCGGGTTGAACATTAATGCCACAGACCCACTCATGCGTTAGGTGGGGTATTTGTGTAAATGGCTGTTGGGGAAAGCTTGTGATAACTGCAGTAATCAATCTGTCCATTACCGTTCAATGCTCCGGTATACACCCAGGTCGATAAATCATACAGGTTACGGCCCTCAGTAAAACGACCCGTTTCTGACCCTGGGGAAGTGCAGTTCATGTGACGAGTTTGAAACTGTGAAACTGTGAAAATCTGCTCTTGAAAAACGAATCATGATAAAACTAAAGGTAAACTAAAGGAAATTAACAGTATTGTCAGTTATACACACCAGAAATTAAACGTTGCTTTTTGTAAGGCATCCTAAAATAGCAAAATATGAAAAATATTATACTAGTGAATTCGTTTGTCAGCCTAGCACGACATGAATCATATATTCTGCTTAAAATTTTGTTTGAATAACACTAGATTAAAAATGGATAGCGGAATATTGTTTTGACTGAATACGGATGTGAGAAACTATGTTTTTGATTCCACCTATAGATAAGGGTTTCGTATCCCGAATCAAAGTCAGACTTGCCGATAGTAATAACAATGATATTTGTCCCCAAAATACAGCAATTATTGCGTTTCTAGACCTTAACCTAATAGACCTTCCCATCTTAACATTCCAAAAGTTTTTTTCTGAATTACATAGCTATTCGTGAGTCAAATTTCACGCATGTTTTCTTTGTTAGTAATACATTTATTTTCACCTAAAGATCGTTCCGCTCTGAATATGACACTGAATATGAATTTCGTGCCTGTATTCTGTTTAAGTTTGTCCCATGTGATCTTTTCTCATTTGGTAACATGTCACGACATAAAATCGAACCCTGGGTGATCACCGAGCCAACCCTTGACACTGCTCGCTTCCCTCACTCGATAGCTGTCGAAGCTTTCTATGTAAATTCAATCAAAAGCCTCCCATTTGGATCAGTTAAATCCGCTGGAAAATGAATTGGAGAGACGACTCGCTAGCTTTGATTAACCTAACAGCTCAAAAGATTCGATTTTGGATTTGTCCCAGCCTCCAGTGGAACGAACCTTATTCGTTTATAAGGTTCAATAAGGTTTGCGAAAATAGAATCTGTGTCTCTTCAATAACAGCTAAAACGTACTTCTGCATAGATAGCATAAGCACATTGCCTATGTGTTATTGCAGATACCATGGTGATTCCAATTAGCGGACACGCTTTGTCTGAGAAAATCCTGAATATCCGCCTGCCACTGCGTCTCCGACTGTGATCTGTGCTTAAGAACAGGATCGATATATTTGGCTGAGAAGCTTGCGAAGAGGGACGGGCGAGGGAAATGCCCTTCGGCAAATACATGTGATGTAATTGAATGGCGATGGCGGGATGTCATCTTACAAACCCGCCATGTTTGGGGGATTGATCGCTCCAGACGCTCGGCTGAAACGTTGTTCAGCCTAAAAAGTAGCTCTCGCAGCGTCCCAGTACAGGAAAACAAATTCCCCGTCCTCTTTCACAGCGAACGCGATCTTTCTTTGTCGTTGCCAGGGATACGCTGGCTAAGATGGACACCGCCCTGGCCGCAGCATCTATTGCAAATGAAGACAGATAGTTTTGTGTAAGGTGTATGTATGAACTGTTGACATGATTAAATACCGCATGAAATTGTTATGAGAACTCTAAATGCATGTCTAGAAATGATCTGTGAGATAAAGTGATCAAAAAGAACATTCGCAGTCACAATCATGCCATATCATATATTATACCATATCAGAAAAACAATGTTTATCTATCGAACAGGCCAAGTTATCACGCCCATTACATTCATCTTTCTCACGTAATGATAGCATGATGTAATCAAGTATCAAAAACAGCAAACTGCCGATTAATATTCGGAGGTTGTAGATACTATTAGACCATTGACTGGTCCTGGATCTGCAGCCGTACAAGAGAACGCCCCTGTGAGGGATCTTCTGTCATCGTCCGCTCCAGACGGGTGGAGGTCGGCGACAGGAATTTCATGAACACTTCATTAGATGCACAATTGTGATGATACTGGAAAAGCCTAACACGAAAACTTACTTCCGCCATAGTTAGAACGAGAAACTTACTTTACACCCAGGTCACTGCTTCTAAATACTTTCTGAATAGGAAACGCAGACAGTAATGAGTGAATGACACATGCCTGCCCTTCGCAGGCCCCAGCAATATCTCCATCTACTTCATGCGGAAAATAACGACATGCTGTGCTTACTCCTATCATATCTGCTCGTACATATCACGTTAGGGAGGACGAGAACAGTATGAGAATACCACTAATATTATGTGTTACTAGTACTATACGGTCGAATAGTTTAATAGTGTGCTAGTGTATGTGCTTGTGTTTGTCTGTCTGTATGTGTGTGTGTGTGTTCGTACGTTCGTGCATGTGAGTGAGTGTGTGAGTGAGTGCGTGTGTGTGTGTGTGTGTGCATTAATCTAGGTTCGTTTGGATACTTGATCTCTTCTTTTATCAGATAAATGAAAAGTAAGAAAAGCCGCTTCATGTCCACCATCACATTATTTTTTCGTGTAAAACAAAATGCATCGATTGCTCCTGAATTACGACGTGATAAAACAACATATTTATGACATGCACTTCATGTGCAATTGTAAAACAGACGTTTTGATATTAGTCAAGCATAAATATTATTGGCTTCATACGCTGTTTAGCTTCTCGGTTACTCGTACCCTTCTTCCCATAAAGTGCTCGTGAAAAACTTCAGTCGTCAGGATCATGAAAATGTAACAGCAAAGGCGATGCGATCCATTGGCCGACCATCTTCTCTTTTGGACGGGCTTTGGACATGTCATTATAACGTACTGCGCCTGCGCGAATCACGGAGTTTTCACGGGTTTCTTTGGATGTTTGCATCAGAATCTTGCAGACGCTATCTTCTCCGACACAAAATTTGAAAAAGAAAAAACACGGGATGTAATCCTCAAATACGTGAATATGATCTTAAACGAGACGTTCATTGGAAGTGCTAGACACAATACATCACACATTTAGCGCAGGCGCAGTACTTTCTGCCGACATGCTGACATCTGACCGTCCAAAGTGCCACCGATGGGCGGAGCTAACTAACAGCTCTAGAGTTCTTCTCCTTCCTCCGAGGAGGTGCAGTACGTTCTGCCGACGAGCTTGCTACTGCACAGCGTGATACATGTTAGGATCATAGGCCAGTTTTACTTCAGTGACAAAGGGCACACTGTCAGCACGGGGCCTAGCACTCCATTCAGGTGCGGCTTACGTAAATTGCTGTGTTAGAATCACCCATGAGAACACACGGACAAATTTCCACTGACTGTGCTCCTTAATGGTTGCCGTTAGCGGCGGCGAAATGTGCAGCCATTTCAAGCATCAAATCCTTCACAATGCTAACTTTACTCTTCAACTCATCTTTCCAGTCAGCCTAGCAGGGCATTGCTGACAAATTTCCATATTTACGTATTCTGTCACAAAAATACCTGACATGAGAATGTGAAATTTATAATAGTTCATTGAACTGTGATGCAAATAACCAATTAGGCTAAGTTGACCACTTCCAGTGGCGTCCTTGCACGGCATAGGTTGTTGTAAGTAATTCATGCACCCTCTGGGTGGTTGAATTCGTCTCACATGAATCATTCATAGCGCTCTCCTGTATCTACGTGCTCCGTCTTTGGCTTATCTTAGATAAAACTAACCATACGTCACCAGCAGGGAACCCAAAGAGCCTACTTAGATAGTCTCATGGACGACAGAAGGATTGTGCTGACAGATAGACCATGAAATAAAATTGGGCAGTAACCTTATTCCACATTTATAACAAGTGCACGTTGATAGCAGAATTGCAATTTCGAAACAGGCGATGCCGAGCCCAATTGGGAACCAGTAAATATCGAATTGCCTTCGATAATAAAGATCTACGAGTCGATGTCTTAGAATGAATAGTTCTTTTCTGGATTAAGTGGCACGCCTTTTGAATGAAGTGATTTGTTGGTATTTCAGATTACCTGTTCCTCTAGATTGACCATGACGCGGCGCCGACTTGCCATAGATTCTGTCATCTCTTCTTGTTGTTGTTGACAGTAGGTTTTGTCACAAAAGTCGCCTTTGATTGAGAAAATCATCTGGACTACTCGTTATAAACTGGGCTGAATGACTGGCTAATGACTTTTTTCATTGTTCATTCACTACATGTCTGTGTAACTACGATGTCACAATGTACAATTTAAGATTTAGAGTTTGCTAAAAATCAGTTAATCTTTCTCTGCACTTTTAATGTACTGTACATAAACAAACATGTCCCAAACGAAATGTTATAATCATTTTAATGCATAATGAAAGAGGAACGTTTTGAACATATAAGTATGTTAGGTATTCTATAGGGAGTATTTTGCTCTTCAGCACGTAATTCACACCAATCGTCCAGCGCTATTCGAAAGGGCAATAAAACCTGTAAGCCAGGTTTTTCCGCGGTGCTTCGATTTCAATTTAAAGTCTGAATCCCATTGACATCCCCTTGATAATGTCAGAATACTTGATCTCTAAAAAGTTTAGGTGCCGTCATTTGCATAATGGATTTTTTTCTTCTCCGCGAGGGAAGCCGTCAGTGAAGGATAATCCGGGACCTTCTACGGGTGTTAGGGGTCAAGGGGTCATTCTGCACTCACGTCTCTTTTCTATTAATAAATAAATATTATTTACATGATCACCATACTTTCTACCCACCTGACATGCGGCACTCATTGGAAATCTCCGTGGCGACGTCTACATGGGGCGGTTACCGCATAAGCTGCTATTTACTATGTTCTTAGTGTTAAGTGCCCGTACTCGGCATTTCAAACATGGCCGCTTCTCTGATGTGCAACGTTACTCTCTGCACAGTTATCACCTGCCCGGTGCTGCAGGACCCGCCCGACGGGAAGGTGTCCCCACCCCCGTGCAGGGACAGCCGCTCCAGGGTGGGGGACACCTGCTATTTCACCTGTGACAACACCTATGTGCAATCAGGGCCGTCGTTCAAGACCTGTCTGTCGGACGGCGACTGGACCCAGGAAAAGGAGTTCACGGCTTGTAGAGGTAAGAACCTCCACTTTGATTACATTTGGGTAGTGTGAACTCTATAAGATGCCGTTATTGACCACTGATTAAATATTAAATGTCTAGATATAAGATAGATAATTGATATTCATTTTTTTTACAAAGATAGCATAACGCTTTTGATGATTGCTACCTCGAATCGTTCTTCATCTTACGGTAAGGTCAGGCCTTCTACATAACATACCTGTGCTGCTGAAGCAACGCAAAAATACTCTACCACCATGAGCTTGTATATGCGTCTCTGGCTCTAATGTTAAGCCGTTTTGATACAAAAGCATGTCTTATCTTGTATTTGCCATATTGAAACCGATCCACACAGTCATATTTGCATGTTGTTAACAGAAGCACTTCAACATGGCTGTAGGGAAGCAGTAGAGTGACCTAAAAGCGCCACATGAGAATATGTCAGTTGATAATCACATCTTTTTGATAATGCACGTAGGTAACATCTAGTCACATCCAGGCGCCGGCCTGTTGTCTCCTCATTTAAGCGCGTATATCGTGGTTTCTAATGCGTGTTGTGCTGCGTCGCTATCAACTCATAGATCAAACCGTTCAGCCTGTTGACTTGAGGTATGCACGCTGTCGTCTGGAGCTGGAGGGGAAAAGAACCTTCATATTTCAGTCAAACTATAAGTTTAAGCTGGGCCTCCTCCCATGGATGGGCTGTGTCTCATGTCAGTGTAGGCTGGTTATCGTCTGTGCCTGATACATGGGTGTGGTAGGGAGATGGCCATCGTCCAATCCAATAAAACGCGGGACTATTCATTAGCCACTGCCTCCAAAGAAGAAGTCAAACCTCCCAGTAATGTACGTAGAAACATTAGATAGACCTATAGACTAGACATTTTATACCTTTTACGTTATCGTATCTGTGTGTCCCCTTGCAATTAGCCTTCGAGCTTGAGTTTACAAATAAAAAGATAGTAAAGCTTGCTAGCCACATCATCGTCATCAAATGCGTTGACAAATTGATCTTAATTATGTTGAATTTTCCACGTCAGATAAAAGACCATACACATATAAAATGCATACTTTATCGTAAGTCTGCTTTCAAAATTAGAAAGGTTGCTATCTATGCTGGCTTACCGGAAGAAATGGATCTCTTTGACTAATGAACCCGTCATTTGTAACTATATGCATGCCCCCAACCAAACTATCATTACTGAAAATCATTTCCGAGCAACAGTCGCTCAAGGCAGGTTCCCAGTTGTGTAGATAAGAACCAGCATTGTTACTTTATTTTCTATCATCTCCTGACGATCGTATGGAATCTATAGTGCCGCAGCAGTCTGTGTGGATTAGTCTAGAATGTCTTTGTGGGGATGTAATAGAACAGCAGTATTCTGCCCGCGTGTGGAGGAAACACTTGACATCCCAAGCAAATAATGTAGGACATTCACGGCGCTTCTTTACCAATTGCTCATCGAATGATGTACGGGCGTGGCCCCGCCCTTTTCTCTATCTAACACAACAGACAATGGCGTACAGAATCATTCGAAATGAAAGTTTCAGATCCGTATGAGAGCTTTTTTTTTTAAAGTCACACGTTCTTCCTTAGATACACCAGAAGACCGGGTTTTATGTCAGACATTATTTATGTCTGTGACTGGAGCAAGCTCAGCAGAAATGACCACAGTCATCAAGTCTGCGACGCTTGTGCGGTACTACGCTTGAACGCCCTCCAGTGTAAAAACATCTGCTTCATAAATAATTCCAAAGCAAAGCAATACTCGCAGATGAAGACATTTCTCAAGACGTAAAAGCCTCGGAGGAAGCGAATGGAAAAGACGATTTTTCTTGTGCTTCCTGATTGATTTTACATTTCTTGGGTATACCTATATACGTAATTATTTTATGTATCATAAACACTAAAGAGCAGATTTACATTTCCAATCATGTCATATCACGGCCCGCCAGGTTGGAGACTTGCCCAGCTCACCTTAATGGTCCACTCTTGACCAATAGACCAGCAATACAGGATATTGCAGTCGTCTATATTTATGCACGACACCCCTGGGTGACGGGCAGATCTCATATGTACCGGGTACTGTCGTGTAGGAGACTGCCGTCTGCAACATGTTTAAAAGTAACACAAAACCTTCAAGGAAAGTGTCATTCTCTCTTCACCGGTGAAATGAAGTAGATTTTACAAAGTGTTCTCGACAAAGAAAGGTGGTCTGTATCATCTGCATGACATTTAAACCCAACAAGCCCATATTAGCCCAGGTACAGAGAAATATTTCTTCAAGGGAATGGCTTCCGCACGTAATAACCCGGTTTGAAAAATATGAACGTCTGGGCATTGTGATGAAGCCATTCTTTAACCCAACAAAGTTTTACAGTAGATTGCCGTTCTGTTAAAATATGAACGTCTGGGCATTGTGATGAAACTATTCTTTAATTCAACAAAGCTACACACCTAGCTTGCCGTTCTCTACGGGAAGCACATAGATACCCAATTACCGTGATGGATATACTTATCTGCATAGACACAGCATGTGTGGCAGTGATAGCATTTCGCGCTGAAATTTACACTATAGCTATTGCATTATTCAGGAAGGAAAGACTCAAGGCAGTCTTCAATTCCACCGGGCAGGAAACCTTTTACGTTGATCAAAATAGCACTTTAGACTAAACATCATCTGTGAATAGCTTTATAGCTCTGCAATCAAACGTTAAGTCATTTGGTGTCCTTAAAGACATTAAGACTATATGATTATTAACAATCGGGATTTAAATTGAAGCATTTCATTGTATTGATATAACCCTTTATCTAGTGGAGGATTTGGTATCCAATATCAGTTTCCTCGTTTGGTTTGATTTACTGGTGTGTAAGACAGGTCGTTCAGCATCCGCTCCGAACGGAAGCAATCGGCATCTCATTTTATGGCGGCCTGTGAAGGCAGTGGTTTGTGATTCACGCCGTAATCCGCAGCCAAACTTCGGGACGTTCCTCGCGTCTCCCTCGTTATCCGACACAATGGGTTCATTGGAAGGGGCGAGGGATTGGGGAGTTGTTATCCTCGGAGGCAAGGAGCGCGGACAGTTAAGTGATGAATAACAAATCACCTGTTTACCGAGTCTCCTGTAGGTACATCGTCAGTCCTGTTTTTGTAGACATGGCACCATTGACAATGAAACACAACAGTTCCTGAAAATAGCCTTGATTTCTTAATTTCTGCCAGGGACTTAATTCAATTAAATGCTGACAGTGACGTCACGGTAAGCATGGCAGCCGGTTCATAACCTGGTACCATGGATTGTGAAAAACGTTCTTTCCAGAAGCAAACAATACATAATTATCGTGACAGCATTTTGTTCGCTTCAAAAGGGTGTATTTTTGGTCCAAACGTATTTTCTAATTGAATAATGACTATCACGTTTGACTATTTTCAGTATTTCATTAATTGTTATTGGTTTCATGTTAATAACAAATCACGTGTTTACGAAGCCACTCCCAAGGAGAGAAGATGTCATTTTTGATAAGTTAAGAGTTTGAGTAACAATCTGTTCTTTATAATATATTAGTAGTTATATTGGATGATTTACCATTCAGCAACAGCATGTGCAGTTTCTGGTAATGACTGCAATTCAATTAAAAATTCAATTAATCTAGATATGCAGGATTCATCATCCACCAAAGGTCAAATGAAATTTCATTAGCCGTTAAAATTAAGCATGGCGCGGATGCAAGTTAATTTGTATCAATGTAGTGTGATTCTCAAATGAGCTGTGGAAAAGCTAGAAAGAATGAAAAATAGAAAAAGATTGCTACAACACTAATATTGTTATATATTATAATCATTACATTAACACTGATATATATATATACTATACTCATGATAATATAATTGGGTTTATATAACTATAATACCAATGCAACAAATAGTCTAACTGACACATAAATCATGCATTTCCTGATCATGTTGAAATAATAGAATTACTGAATTCACCAGAGACAAAAGCAATACTAGTATTACATTTTTCTTGGGCACTAAAACAGAGCATTTAGATTTGCACTTGTCCGAGCTCTTCCCTTGAGATAACTCGACGTTTGGGATCTGTAGGCAGCCTGTTTTCCGATGCCTGAGACGTGAATATCCCACACCCGGGAATTTTTGCATGTTCTCCCATGGCAATATGGCGCTTTCAGTTGCCAAGGCCGTCTTAACAATAAACATTTGTCAGCGAGGCGTTTGGTGTGCAGGAATTCATGATATCCACAGGTGCATTCCTGATTGTCAATTGACACGTGTGATTAAGGCCCTCCTTTCACCATCGGCGATCTTTGAACGACCGCTGTGCGACTAAAATAGAATTTATGTAGCCCTTGATGTTATAGTTGATGCTGTACGATGCAAAAGTTGATTTACATCTTTTTAAAGTTAAATGACACATTTTCTTTCTAAATCGCTGTGTCCACAAAACTCGTTGAGCGATCTGTCAAATAGTTGGTCGCTCCGAGGTTGCAGCCTCTAGTGGAATGAGGGTGTAATAGATGTTACTGAATGTATGGTCACGACGGGAAAGTCAATGCTAATCGATAGAAGTTGTTGCCGTACACGAGTGCGATGTCATATCAATTGTTACCTTCATTTAACGAGTTGAACAGAACTAGAGGACTGCCTCGTACATAGACTCAAGCAAGCGCCGTGCCATTCCCGGGTAATCCCCGAACTGTAGATAAGGGATTACAGACCGATGGGAAGATCGTTCTTGTCTACTTTTCCTCGCTGCCTGATTACCAATTATGATACGGCAGGCAGTGCGGAGCTCAGGCCTTTTGAAAAGGCGATGGATCGTTCTAGTAAAGGATTGGGCAGGAGAGGCTGGGCCTGTAATCGTAGCAAAGTCTTTTTTCGATAGTCCATTTGACAAATTGAGGAATTGCAACAATTCACGTGTCTTTAATTACTGTACATTGTGTTGCTCCATGACACAACGAACTAATTAAAGCCGCATGAAGTTATTCCAAT